TGTGAGACACCACTCTGTTCTGCATGCAGGGCATGTGCGCAAGCACACACATGCACACAGTCACGTCCTCCTACATGAACTGGCACATGACACATGCACACACACATGAATGCGCGCGCACGCGCGCACACACACACACACACACACACACACTTCCTCCTACATGCATGGGCATGTGTGAGACACCACTCTTTTCTGCATGCAGGGCACATGAGTAAGCACACATGTGTACACACATCCTACATGCACTGGCATGTGTGACACATGAACACACATGCACACATATGTATGCCTGTACATGTAGGAGAAAGTGTGCAGGTAAGTGTGTGTCTGCAAGTCACATGCCAATGCATGTAGGAGAGTGTGTGCATGTCACATGCATGCCCGTGCATGTAGGAGAAAGTGTGCATGTGTATGTGTTTGCACGTCACACATGCCCATGCATCTAGGAGAGTGCAAGTGCATGTCACATGCATGGGCATGCATGTAAGAATTAGGCATGTGTGCGTGTGTATGTCTGAGATACTTCCTCCTACATGCACAGGCATGCGTATCTCACACATACACGTATGCTCACACACACTCTCTCTCTCTCTCTCTCTCTCTCTCTCTCTCTTCCTCCTACATGTTCAGGTATGCGTGTGACATATGCCCATGCATGTAGAAGTGTGCATGTGTGTGCACTTGTGAGACACATGCATATACGCCCACTTTCTCCTACATGCATGGGCATGTGTGATGTGCAAACATGCATGCACACACATGCGCACTTTCTCCTACATGCATGGGCATGCATGTGACATGCGCACGCACACACTCTCCTACATGCATGGGCATGTGTGACGTGCAAACACCCCCCCTGCACACTTTCTCCTACATGCATAGGCATGTGTCTCTCCCCACACACACACAGACGTGCATGCACATGGACACACGTACTTCCTCCTATGCACATAGGCACATGTGTGACACACACGCACAGCCCCTGCTGTTGCAGTCCCGGCTCCCCCCGTACATCCACCGCTGCCTGCAGCTGCACGGTGGTTTTGGCGGCCGAGGCCCAGGCTGGAGGAAGCGTGTAGTCTATTTATAGGTGAGCGCCCAGAAGCAGCAACTTAACACGGCCCTGTGCTTTTGTGTCCTCTTCCCCTCTGACAGCTCCAAGCAAATGTGTGAGCTGAGACGTCCATGCCTGACATGAGTCACCATGGGGCTGCTGCTGCCACCTTTGTCCCCATCTCCGCCCCACTGCATGTCCCTCTTGCTCTGCTCTGCACGCAGCAGCAAGGCTCCTCTCATTTCTTCTCTCAAATTACTCTCTTTGGAGCAGGGGCTCTGTCCTCCTGGGTTGTCTGGGAAGCCCCTTTGGTGTTTCCTTCAAGGCAGGACAAAAAAGCAGCTCTTCCACTTGGCTTCTCTGAGCGCTGCACAGGAGAAGCACACGGCAGCATCCCATGCAGGCCCTCCCATGCTGGGCAGCCTGTCTGCGGCATGGGCAAGCAGGGGAGAAAGCACAAGGCAGCTGGGTTTGCTTGTCAGGTGAAACGTGCAGCCCCATCCCCTCAGAAAACAGCCCTGGATGGATCCCAGGCTGAGAAAACAAATTCACATCCAATCCAACCCCCTGCTCCAAGCAGGCCCAGCCCCAGACTCCATCATCCCAGCCAAGGCTTTGTCCACCCGGGTCTTCAACACCTCCAAGGATGGAGACTGCACCACCTCTCTGGGTAGCCTGTTCCAGTGCTTCACCACCCTCCTCGTGAGAGTTTTTCCTAATATCCAACCTTATCACCCTTAGATTCCTCTTCCTCCACTAGCAAGATGTTCTTCTCCCTTTGCCCTTTCTCCTCGGGGCAGGTGGAGCACGGGCCGTGAGCGCGGTCTGCTCCGGAGGAGGAGGAGGCGTCTCAGCGCAGGGTGACGCTGGCAGACAGCAACGCTGTGATTTCTTTGCAGTGAAAACCCCCATGCCCACACGCGAGACCCCTCTCCTGGGTCCCTGGTTGCAGGTTATTCTCTATCGCTCTGGGAAAAATCGAAGCACGGCGGCAAGCGAGAGAGGAACAGTGGAAAAACCCTGGTCAGACCCTGCTCCCATCCATCCTCTGCTCTCTGCCCCCATGTCACGCAGGACATCGGGCTTAGTGTCTGACCCAGTCCATGGCAATGCTTGTGTCCTTACGAAGCGCCAGGATCCTCCAGCCCGTTCCCCCGCATGCAGCTCCTGGTACCATGGCTGGAAGCCCAGTGCCAGCGCGGCTTGCAGGTCTGCTCTGTGCCGCGGAGGGCGAAGGTCCTGGGTTATTTTTAGTTAACGCAGATGTTTCATGTGCGCGCTGGAGAAAGAAGGAGCAGACATCCTGCAAGCATGTGCGTGTGTGCCTGTCCCACGTGTGCGTGACTGGACGTGCAACTGGCTGGCATAACAAGTCAAATATAAACCAGTGTGGAAATAGCTTTGCTCCCAAGCACTGCTCCTTCCAGACGGGAGCGTGGGGAGCCTCTTCCTGTGCGGCTTGTCTCGGGGCCATTTCTACTTGGTTTCTTTCAGAATTTATTCTTCCCACTTCCTTATGCTATTGTCGTATTTTATCCCAGAAAATGAGGGTGGGAAGGGACCTCAGGAGGTCACAACTAGTACAACCCCCTGCTCCAAGCAGGACCAGCCCCACCTCCATCATCCCAGCCAAATATTTGTCCACCCAGGTCTTAAACACCTCCGAGGATATAGCTGCCGACGTGATCCCCTACCCCAGGCCCTTTGGTTTTTGCTGGGAGCGGGTCTCGCAGGGTCCAGTGTGGCAAGTTGCTGAGTGATGCTGGGGGAGTCAGAAGTGGGTTTTTTTCTTCTGGAAATGTAAAAAAACAAATAAAACCCCAGAAAAAGCTCACATGGAGAATTCTGACCCCCCCCGAGTAAAGCCACGGACAAGGGTTGGCCCAAAACCAGTGTTTGCTGCCAAAAGGGAGGTGGATGCTGGAGAATTTCAGCTTCTGATGAGAATCATAACAGGAATAATTATAATAAAGTAAGCTTTTATTTCTCATGGTAATAGAGAAAAGCTTGACATTGTAACCTGCAGAAATCTGCAGAAGCCAGGAGGCCAAGGAAGAGAGCATGATTTGAGTTAATTTTTAAACTCTCTTGATTTTTTTTTTTAAACTTATCTCATGACTTTTGTTTATCTTGCACCTGACTCATGGTTGGTGAACCCATATCGATGGGGTTGGCTGGGTTGGGTGTCATAAGAAGGCAAAAGCTTCAGTCAGTAAAGAGTTAAAGGGAGAGAAATGCTAATGAATACCAGCCCATGTGGTTTTGTAGTCTGCCCACCAACCCTGGCAATCACAGCCATGACTGCTTTAAGATAATCTGTTATCTGACATCACAGACACGACTGCTTTAAGATAACTCTGTGAAGGCTAGAGACCTTTGCAGGACTTACCATTAGGTGAAATCCCAGCTAAAACTTCAGTGCCACGTAGTATGGATGAAGTCCACGTTAAATGACTAAAAAAGCCCAGTGAATGAGAAATCTTGCAAAGTTGCCATCCATAGCCAGTCCTTAAGAAACGAAGGTGCTTCCCTTGGGGTTTGAAAGGGATTGGTGATAGATAGGCCCGTGGGATTTATCAGCAGGAATCCTGGTTTTCTCTGATTTAAAAAAAAAAAATCCCCAGTTTTGGGTTAACAAAGTAACCCCAAATCCATATTTTTCCATGGTTAAAATGAAACACCACTATAGATAGATAGATGTCAGTCTGTCTAGAGATATATAGTAGATATATATACCTATAGCTATATAGCTATATATATCTATGGGTATCTAGATAGATAGATAGATAGATATAGATCTCGCTCTCTCTCTCTCTCTCTCTTTCTCTCTCTTTTATATATATATATAGTAGTGTTTCATTTAAATCACAGAAAAATGTGGATTTGGGGTTACTTTTCTTTTTAACTAGAAAATGGAGATTTTTAAAAATCAGATGAAACCAGGATCTCTGTTTATCAGTGACCAGTCCTTAGTATGAAATTGTTGCTGATAAGCCTTTGTGGATATCTATATAGATATATATGAAACACCATTATCTATCCATCTAGATCTCTCTCTCTCTCTCTCTGTGTGTGTAGATAGATAGATAGATAGATAGATAGATATAGAAATAGATATAGATATCTATATATCTATATATACCTGTCTCTCTCTGGGGCAGTGCTGCAGGAGGGAAGGGCTGAGATGCCTGGATGCATAAGCAAGGATGTAGAGAGGTGGCTGTATCTCTGTATGTAGCATGCTTGAGACCAATGGCATTCACATTTTAAAAGGAAAAATGTTGGAAACTTTGGAGAGGTAGCAGAAAATAGCATTTCAGGGCCCATGAAGATGCCTCGCATATGAATGATTTGGCCACAGCATGTACTTCCCTTCCCTGGGGTGTGGGGGAGGGAAATACCAAGTGGTATCCAACTCTGGGCTGGCAGAGAAGAGCCCAAGAAAAACAGCTGATTGCTTGGACTTTAGAAAATAAAGAAACCAAGGTTTAAAGACGGGGGGTGGAGCATGAAGCAGACACCAAGGGAAACAGCAGATTTGCCCTGTCTCGGGGTTTTTAAATCGAGACTGGAAGATGCTTTTGTGGCAGATGCGCTCGACACGGGGGGAGCGCGGTACCTGGGGAGCTGCATGGGAAAGCACGCAGGGCCGCAGGGCGGAGGTGATGTGAGCAGCCCTTCAGCCTTGAACTCTGCACCAACGGGGGTGGCAGAGATGCCGGCGGGGGGAGGACGGGGAAGGGCTGTAGGGGAAAGAAAAGACTGACACATGCATGGCAGCATAGCTGGGTGGGAGGGGGGAGGAAATGATCCGAGAGGCAGCAGATAGTGAAAAAGCCTGTCGGGTTTATTTGCAAATATTTGTTTTCTCCTCTTCCTCTACCCACAGTCTCTTGGCTCCTGGAATTAACCCCCTGTGTGCTCTCTGTTTCCCCCCATCCAGTGTGCCGAGACTTCGCGGTGCTAGAGGATCACACCCTGGCCCACAGTCTGCAGGAGCAGGAGAGTAAGTTGCTGTCCTCTGCCCCCCCCCCCCCCCAAATTTTTTT